TCCGAGGGAAAAAGAAAAAAGATATAAAAGTAGAAAGGAGGTCACTCGTTTCTTCGACTCTTCTTGTGACTCTTCTTTGAACTCCTGTGACGAGAAACGAACAAAATCACGTTTAGTGCAAATAATGAAACGAACGATTCACACTTTGTTACCAATAATAAATCACACTGGAGAAGATCCTGAGGATTTTGATTCACTCTCACGCCTCCGATGATTTGAAACCTCTCACCTCTCTGGAGACTTTGAGTGGCTGCGGTGTCGGTGGCTTCTGTGGTGACCTGGTTCACAACCATGAAAATAACCATGATCACATATCATCATGTACACAAGATGGTTTCCTCTGTGTTAAAGTCAATGAACGACTGGATGAACAAAAACAACGACTTATCACTTATGTTTTATTACCACAGACTGGCAGTGGGGGGGCGAGACATGTGTTCTTACCTGGGGATTTGGAGCGGTGGCGTCGGTCCCTGGACCGGCTGCGGTGGCGGCGGGGGCTCTTGCTGCGATGGCGCTCTCTCCGGGGCGATGGGCTGACAAAACACAACAGAATCACTGAAAGAGCCTGAGCCACAAAATAAGGTTGAAAACATTTGACGACTGATTTCATCCGAACAAACCTCCGCCTCTTTGGAGATCGGCTCCTCCTGAAACATAAAATAAAAACACAAAGGATTAGATTTAGAACCGAATCGTCCATTGATAGTCAATCGTATTATAACTTCACTGAAACATTTACATGTCGACATTTTCTTTCCGTCTTCTCTGCAGAAAAATGTAGATTATTAAACCCTCAGTAAGTTGACAAACCGTCTGGGTGAGCGGCTGCGTCTGTAGCGAGGTGACGGGGAGCGGCGAGGCCTGTCGTTGTCACGGTAACTACGTCTGTGTGGTTCAGGCGTCTGGAGTCTCTCCAGCTGCTGGTGGAAAAACAAGTTTTAAAATCTCAACCACCGGAACCAAACATGCTGTTCTACTTTCTGAACATGAAAACCACTTCACTCGGAAACGGAGCCCAACAGACTGAATCACTATGTGTGACTGCAGGGGGCGCTGTTGCTCAGTCAAAGATACATCGTGTTGCTTTAATAAACTCTTATCACCTTCTCTTCTTCCTCTTCTTCTTCATCACTGGTCTCCACTTCATCCAGATCTTCCTCCAGGGCGCTGATGCGTGGGTCCAACATCTCGGCCTCCTCGAGGACTTGTCTCCTCTGTCACACACACACACACACACACATTAGTGGTGTGGGCCTATGAAACAAGCTGAGCGTATGAACATGATGTAGACATACCTGAAGCCGGGGCAAAATGATGTCACACATTCTCTCTGCGTGAAGAAGCTCGTCGATAAACTCGTCAACGTGCATCAACTCGAACTCT